ATTGCAAGTGGGTCTTTCTCAGTCAAGGTGGTGGTCAGTCCAGACCTGACCCTCTTCCAAGGTCAGACCCCAGGCGGTCCCCTGCCTGTCTCTCTCTTGGATGCCCCATCAGCGTTGTGCTCTTCACACCTCTTCCCACCCACGTTGTGCTCCCAATAGGTGAGCGGCCTCCCTCCACCAGGTGCCTGGGGACCCAGCCTTCATCGCCTTCCTCTCCTGCTCCCGGTGACCACCTCCTTGCCGATCTGCCTTCAGGGGCTCCTGGGATCTGCAATCGTCTCTGCGCTCCCTCTCGTGACCAGAGCCGTGCCGCAGCTGCCACTTCCCAGCTGTTCCTGCAGCCTCTGCCCATTTTAGCCTCGTTGCTCTCCCAGTCAGGTCACACTCACTCCTGGGGTCCCCAGATCCCTTAGCCTGTACCCACGCACCAGGGAGCACGCACATGCTTTTCTTCTGCCTGGCACACCAGCAGCCTCTCAGGTCTCACACTGGAACTCCAGTGCCTCCTTGCGGGAAACCTGCCCCCTTGACCCCCAAGACATTTGGGGCTTCCCTGGGACCCACCCTGTCTCCCGTTCTCGGGACTACAGGTGCCTTGAATCCTCACCTGGGACTGGACTGGCTGCAGAGTCAAGAATGTGAAGGAGGCGGGGAAGGAGGAACAGAGGCGTGGAAGGGAGCAGGAAGAACAGCTCATATCCTTCCCCCTGCTTCCTGGCATAGGTGCAATCTGCGCTTTTTTAGCCCGGTGCCCTGCTGAGCCGTGCACTACCCTCCCCGGCCCCTCACGGCCAGCCTCCCTCACTGAGTGAGTGTGATGGGAACCGGGACAGGCCCAGTCACACTTCCAGCCTGTGGCGGTGGCCTTGCAGGCACAGGTGCCTGAGTCTGTCGCACTGGAGGCATGCGCCCAGAACCTGGGGAGCAAGGGCTGGGGGCAGTGGGGGCCTGAACCCAGGCGGCCCGGGGAGGAGGCAGGGCTGAAGCTGACGAGCCAGCGCTCACCTGCCAGGTGGCGTCCACAGGGCTGGCGCCACCTGCGGCGTCCGGGGGCTCAGCGATAGAGGAGAGTCCTTCTCCTGGCAGCGGCAGCTGCGGTAAGCCGGCCCGTGTGGTTCCGGCAGTGCAGGCGGCGGCCGCCGTGGCCAATGCAGCGGAAGAGGTCCCAGTCAGAACACCTCCTCAAGTGGCATCCACAGTGCAAGCTGTGGGCCTTGCTGAGGCGGGGGCAGGGCTGTACGTGAGTGAAACGAACCCCAGGGGCAGGGTCTGTGGCAGTCAGCCGCCTTGTGATGAAAGAGCCAGCAGCTGGAGAGGCAGGTCAAGCTTGATCAAGGGTATGGAGATGTCGACGATCTTCCCAAACGGACCCTCAGAACAAAGGGGCGCACCAAGGCGGAGGACCCTGCCGGGAAAAGCCAGGATACAGTCCCCAGCAGCTCTTCTTGACTGGCCCCCTTCTGGAGTGGCATGGCTCCTCCAGAATGTCTTCTTGGTCGTCTCAGCCTTGCCCCTAATGATCCGGCGTATTGGGGCGTGGTTCCCAGATGTACAGTGCGGCATGAATGCAAGGCTTTCGAGCCACCCTCATGGCTCATTTGTTCCAGTTTCTAAGAGCATCTGAGGATGAAGCAGGTCTCGACTCCGTGGAAGCCCAGCTGGCGGGGGGGTGGGGGGGGAGCGACTCCGCGCTCGTCCTAACACGCTGTTCGGCGAAGGGGACCAGATGCCTCGAGCAGAGAGTGAAAATCTTACAGGTGCAGGGAGGCCGGGAGCTGAGAGGGACCCCGCGGGCTGTCTGGGGTGGGACACTCCGGCGGAGGAAGGTGCGGCCGGGGAGGCTGAATCTGAGGAGCTTCAGCAGGAAGGGGAGGCTGGCTGGAGTGAGAGGAACAGTCCAAGCTGATGAAGATGAGCCAGAGGATAATGAGATGGCAAGAATCTGCCAGTGCAAGAGTGCTAGCATGTCCTACAACAGACAACGAGGACAGGAGATGAATTAAGGGGGCAACTGTGAAAGTCAAAAGAAAGGTCAACAGAGCATGATCAGGAGGCCAAGGCGTACGGTCAATCAGGCTTCCACTGCAACAAAGGCGAGCTTTGGGAGGAGGGATTACAGGAGCTGGGGAGCAGAAGCTGGAGCTTGAATGACTAGAGGTTAGAGATGGGAGGAGTGATAAGAACAGACCAAACTCGTAAAGACACAATCAAATTGAGCCTAGAAAAGAGAAGAGGTCAAGATGAAGGCCGAAACTGAGAAGCTGACCTACACTGAAGTGATGTAAGAAGTCAAATCTAAAAATCCCAACTGAGCTGCCAACAGAAAGGGCAAAGTTACAACAGGAGAAGTGGTCTGGCTTTTTGTGTCCCCCACCATGGGGGAACAGACTTCGGAGCTCAGAGCGGGGGAGCGGCCGGCACAGCTTCACTGACTGGCCCCAGGGAGGACTCCTTGGTGGGGTGAGGCGGAGTGACCCCAGGCCAGTGAGGGCAGCAGAAACCTGGGCAGGGGCCAGTGGCCCTGAATCCTGCAGCCAGTGCCTGTTCCTGGACCAGGCCGTCCCCTCCCCTTGGCTCCGGCAGCCCCAGGATGGCTCACTGGGGAGAGGGCCTGAAGCAACTCAGATGACTCAGGAGGCAGGGGCAGGGCTTGGGGACAGTGGGAAGCTGGGATGGGCCAGCCTGCCGGGGGAGGCGGGGGGCCGGACTGTGATGGAGTGATTAGATCCCAAATGGGCATTGGGCGGCCCGGCGTCCCTGGAGAAGGTAGGGCAGCCCCCATCGTCTCCAGCTGTCCCCTGAGGTTAAGCCCAGGACAGAGCACATCACACGGGGACTGAGACATCAGAGAGCTGCCTGGGGCCGTGGGGGGGAGAGGAGGCTGGGGGGCAGGTAGAGCCCCCTCACCCCAGGACGGGGCCTTCTGGCTTTGATTGGCAGCCTAGGCTTCCAGGCAGCTGAAACAAAGGCACCAGTCGGGGGGGCCTCCCAGCCCTCTGACACTTGAAGCCTCTGCGGTTGGTCTGGGGGAGGGCGGAGGAACAAACGTCCCTCAGCTCTCTCCAGCCTCCCCTGATCCCACAGGGGCGGTGAGGCTGGTGTCCTGAGCAGCCCCACTCTTGCGGAGTCTCCGAGGGGACTCTGTGCCTGGCGACCCCAAAGCCCCAGGACACTCCGCACACACTGGATTGGCGGCCTCCAGCCGGTGCCAGGGCCTGAAGGAGGTCCTGGAAGAAGGGCAGACAGGCGCTGGCAGTCGGCAGCCCGTGGTGTGCCTGGCACCTACAAACCTTGAAGCCCACCTCCTCGGGCCCACTTCGCTAGCATGTCATTGCTGTACCTGGGGACACCACCAGGGCAGAGGGGAGACCAGAAAAGCGGCGGAAAACAGGGGTTCACCGCCAGGCATTCCGGATGAGCCCCGGTCCTGTGTGCTCAGTGACGAACTTGAAAGGAACACTCGGCAGCGTGCCAGGGAGTGGAGCAATAGCAGGAGAGCCTGGCCAACCGCATGAGCAGGAGCCTTCCATCAGCTTTATTACCCCATTTAGATGGGGGAACTGAGGCAGCACAGGCAGGGAAGTCCGCAGGACTAAGCAGCAGAGAGGAATGGAGCCCTGTCCCTACGATTGTGCAGACTCCGGGCTCCTGGGCCTTTCCATGTAGCCTGGTGGCTCCCATAAACTGTGTTCCACGCTCTGCCCTCAGTGGGTATGAAAATCGCTGACCACTTTTCGCACCCGGTGTTTTTTTTTTTTTTTTTTTTTACTTTAGGGACACAGGGGCGTGGGGCGGGCACAGGGGCATTTGTTTCCTCATGGGAGCCCAGGGAGGCAGGTATGACCCAGCATTTCTGTGAGGGGGTGGCGTGAGATGCAGTCTCGAGACAGGATCCTCAGTCTTGGACAAAGACCCCACGTCCCACGGGGGGTCTGCAGGCAAAGCCTCCCCATGGAAATCTCGGACTCGGAAGAGTGGTGGGTAAATTCCTGTAGGCGTTAATGGGTGGGATGCAGCTGGCCCACCTGCCCCCCGACCAGCTGCAGGCCAGTGGTCCGGCTCTGGCAGCTGGGACAGATGTTCTCTGCTCTGGCCTGAAGCCCCTGACAGCAGGCGCCGGAGCTCGCCACCGCCCGCCTATGCATCCTTGGAAACCCCTCCCCGGGGTGGTTTGAGCCGAGATCAAGTGCAGGCAGGGAGGAGGAACAGAGGGCCCTCCCGGACACCCCACTGCCTTCGCTCCCAGCAGCCCTGCACAGGCCGGGGCTCGCACCCCCCTTCCTGGACTTCTCCACCTCTCTCTTTGTAGCATCCTGGACTACAGAAGCCTTAACACATGGGCCACCCCACCACCTGGAGGCACTCCCGGACTTTCTATCCTAAATACCTGGTGGACCCATGCTTTCTGCTGCGTCTCCCTGCCTTACTACCACCTCCCGCATTACTTTCTAACATCATGGCGTCTTCTCTCTCTCCTCTTCTCAGGTCCCCCATGATGTGTGGGGTGGGGCTGGAGGCTGGGGCCTTTACAAGGCCATTAGCCACATAGCCCAAATCCTTCAAGAGCACCTTGACCATGGCAAATGAATGAACCATTGCCCGCAGTGACCATCTTCAGCCTCGCCTCCGGGCTGTACTGCCTTCAGGCCCTTCGCCCCAGGATGCCGGCCTCCCAACCTGGCGGGCCCGTCCTGCCAGCAGTCTCCTGACCGCCAGCATGCCCTGCCGGGCCCCGTTCCGTTATTCTGGAAGCGTGCTGTGTGACCGGAAAATGTCAGTTTGCTGTCCGCCACCCCAGCAGCGTTGGGGCAGAACACCTCTGTCTCGTCCCTTTCCAGGAAGGAGGCCCTGAGCTTTCATGCCAAAAGACACCGTTGCGCGTCTCCCGGATCCATTACGGCGCGCATGGTAACGGGCGAGAATGCTGAGAAGGCGTGGCCTCTGCTTCTCAGGGGAGGAGATGCTTGAACAAACCAGGCAGTACCGATCACCAGAAACGCGGGAGCGACACCGAGAGGCCCAGGCGGCCAGAGCCGGCAGTTCCCACAGCAGGGGCATGGCGCATGCTGCTGGGCGGGGCAGGTGGGTACAGGTGGGATGCCTGTGGTGGTGAGCATGGCGTGGGAAAAGGCAGGGGCGGGATGGCTGGCCGGGCCGCAGGCGTGGTGGTGCGGAGGTGGGGCGAGTGCTGTAAACTGTGTAGACGACGTGGGCTGAGGCCTCGGGGACATTTCCATGCTGGCGGCAGTGACCATAATGAGTGGCCAGCAGGCAGGCAGGCAGCAGCAGGCAGGCAGTGCCTGCCGCAGGCATGGAGAAGTGGGCAGGGGCAGTGCCTTTGGCAGGGGTGCAGGCAGGAGGTGAGGGCATGGGCAGGGGCCTCTCGGCCAGTTGGCACTTCACCCACGACCGGAAAAATAAAGCTCTTACAAATTCAGAAGCACTTCAAAATGAACTTGGCTTTGGTTGAAACAGTCTCCTTATATATTTGAAAGGCGGTGGAAATACATTGGGAGTCATATGGGGAGTCTCGGATGCCTCACAAAATAGTCAGCTGTTCTAGGCACAAATCTGGCCCTTAGGTGGGAGTTGCATGCTTCCCCCGTGTTTCTCTGGCCTCTGGACCTTTGCACATGCTCCTAGCCCAGAGCATTCTTCTCTCCACACGCCCTGCCTCTCACTGGTCTGTGTCTAGCAGACCCCTACACTTTCTTCAGTCCCCAGCTGAGGTGTCCCTCCCCCTGGAAGGCTTTCCTCTACCTGTCCTCCTGTCCCTACCCCAAGCACCTCCTTGGTGCACCTGCAGCCTCTTGTACATCTTCTCCATAGAATGTGTCAGAGCACAGCACCCATCTGTTGGCTTTGTTCATCCTCACTGGGCTGTAGGCTCTATGAGCGCAGGAGCCGTGTCTTGTCAGATAGTGGATGGATGGAAGGAAGGAAGGAAGGGTGGATAGAAGGATAGATTAAAGGATGGAAGGGAGGGAAGAAGGAAGGTTGCATGAGTAGGGGGCTAGGCCAACGGATAGAAGGCTGGAAAGATGAATAAACAGCCAGGTGGTTGGAAGAATGCACGGATGGATGAGAGGACGGGTAGGCAGATGGACCACTCTCCAGGTGAGGGGACGGGTCACTTCTTCAGCAAGGTGGGAACAGGATA